TGCCATGGACAATTTAATTGAAGTTAGATGCCATGGACAATTTTGATTAGCATTGCATTTTATTGATACACAGGGAGAGATATAAACATTTTGCTAATCAGCTACTATTCACATAAATGTAAATATCATTTTCATGGGCGATAAAGAAACTACTACAAATTTGAATACCAAATATAATTTATTCCAAGTCTATTTTCATGACTAATGCACTCAAATGTGTTCCCCATGASCTGAACCCACAGGAACTCAGAGAGAATCAATCTTTTGGATTAATTTTTTCCAGTTGGGGGTATATTCTTGAGTGATAATTTAGGTCTGCATATATAAAATTAACAAAAGGTTGACAAAGGTTGTGTATAAGACCTTATAGGGGAGGGGAGCTATAGTCCCCTARCCCCTTTCCTAGTTGCTTTGAATGGCTTTTGTTTGTCATGAAAAACATTAGTTGGGAAACAAATGATAAGTCCATTAGCAGCAAAGTAAAGACAGTTCTACCATGAGAAATTGAATACGAACAAAAAGCCCTGGGAGGGGGAGGGCTCMCTAATATAACAGGGYGGGGCTTCTTGTCAGAAATTTCTTATACTGCAGAAGAAGTTTATACCATAAAAGGTGCAAAAAGACATGGATAGTGATAACTCATTTATGAACAACTATATTATATGGTAACCATGTGCTTGGTCATTGGGAAACAAAAATAACTTAATTGTGTATATAGTCAACATATTGTATGGTGTGCCACAAATAGTTAAAAAAGGGCAAGTTCTACATAAACATTTAATAAACACTGTTTAAAATCAATATAAGCTACATCAATATCTCACAGGTGTTTATTGAATTGGGCACCACAAAAAGGGCAAGTTCTACATAAACATTTTATGTGGGTGGCAAGGGTGGTCTAGTGGTTAAGCTACTGGCCTCTCACCGCTGTGGTCCGGGTTCGATTCCTGGCCACGGACCATATGCGAGTTTGAGTTTGTTTGATGTGTTGTTCTCTCCCTTGCCACGAGGGTTTTTCTCCGGGTCCTCCGGTTTTCCTCCCTCAGTAAAAATCAACATGTGAGGAGTGTTGTGTGCTAAAATAATTAATGTAGAGGTAGTGAGTGTGAGTGTGAGGGCCACAAGTTCATCAGTTCTTTACTGTCACGTGTTACCCTCGTAAAATAAAGTCGATTTATTTTATTTATTTATTTTTAT